GCCGGTTTAAAGTTGCGCGAGCCGAGCCGGATCGCTGTCGTTTGAATATTGAGCCCCTCGCTCGCCGCCATGGGCCACGTCCCGTCGATCAGAACCGCGGACGGCGCCGCCTCATCGGCGGGCAGGGCGAGCGCGCTGGCGATGGCGAAGGCAGCCGATTCGGAGAGTGGTTCCTCAAACGTGACGCACTGCGGGCTCCGCGCGACCCGCATGCGCAGCTCCGGTGTTGTGACTCCGTCGATGCGTCCGCCCCAGCCGCTGAGGCCACGGTACCTCGCGAACGTCCTCGAGGAGGTGTAGGCGAGCCGCCAGGTGCTCGAGAAGAAGCAGTCCGCAATCATCCAGTCCTGACCAAGGTGCCGGACAGCGGCAAGTCGGGGGTAGAAATCAGAGTGTAAGTCCGAGATAGGGAGTGCCACACCTCGGCCTGATTGGTGGGCCAGCCGATCGACGCGAGCGTATCGATCAACTCCAGCATGCCCTCCACGTACGCCGGCGGCCTGTACGCGTCCTCATGCTGATCGAGCCCGCGGCTTGGAATCTCGCGAAGCGCAGCGGTGAGGTCAGCAGCCGAGGCGCTGGCACGGATATCACCGCTTCGCACTGCACGGCGTGGCTGATTTCCGTGCAACAGGAACGCTGCGCCGAGCATAGAGCAGCACCTTCTGACGCAAGCGTCTCAGAGCTCGCCCAAGCTCTCGAAGCTCGAGCGCAACGCTGTAGCTCTTACGTACATCCACTGGGGGAGGAAAGGTGTGTAGACACCAAATCGGGTCCGGACTTCGGACCCGATTACGCTGCCGCCTCGCGCGCGCCGCTGCTGCCCTCGCCGGCAGCCGCCGCGGTCGCAGTGCCATCGTGCGGACTGGCGGTCGACTCGCCACATCGATTTCAACTCACGCGACGCGCTCGGCCTCCGCTGGCGGCTGCCGCAAGAGCGGCTGGCTCACGGCAGCGTCTCGCCGGTTGCCGGATAGGAGAGTACAGAACGTCTGGAGTGTAACTGTGTACGTGAGATCGGTTTTGATAACAAGCACGGTCGATCCGTCAAAGCGATACACTCGTTCCTATCTCGCTGGAGGGCTGGCACGGAGCTCTGTGCCGACAAACAGGAAGAGCCGAGCGGCAAGAAGGGCTCGATGGGGAGCGAGAACCGTCAAACGTGCTCACGGAGGTTTCGGAAGTCCACCCTGATGCGGTCGGTTCCCCCCCGGTTTGAACGCGCAGCTCGCAAGACTCGTCGAGCACTCGCAGCCTCTCTGCGCCTCTCATGCTGCCGCTCTGCGGGAGGTTCAGTCTTTCCGGAAGATATCGTCGAGTTTTGGAAGCTGCGCGGTCAAACCTGGGGGGAAACAAGAGCGTCACGACGGACTTCAGGTTACACCTCAAGCTCTTCTGACGGTTCTCGCTCCCCATCGAGCCCTTCTTGCCGCTCGGCTCTTCCTGTTTGTCGGCACAGAGCTCCGTGCCAGCCCCCCAGCGAGATAGGAACGAGTGTATCGCTTTGACGGATCGACCGTGCTTGTTATCAAAACCGATCTCACGTACACAGTTACACTCCAGACGTTCTGTACTCTCCTATCCGGCAACCGGCGAGACGCTGCCGTGAGCCAGCCGCTCTTGCGGCAGCCGCCAGCGGAGGCCGAGCGCGTCGCGTATCGATCGAGCTCGCGATCCGGGCCGTGGAGCCCACGAGGAAGACTTCGTCTGCTGGGACGGAGTCCCGACGCTCGCTGCGTCCGCCGGAACTGGGGTCTGCACACCTTTCGTGGCCGCGTCCCGCAGTGGCCCGGAGGAGGACTGCATTTTTTGTGGGCACTCGAGTGTGGCTAACCTCGGAATGTGACACAGCCATTCTGGTGTCACATTCCGAGGTTAGCCTACTCGAGTACTGGTAATATAATAGTAGGGGTAAAGTGGGTTGAGGCGGGTACTGTAGGGTGGTCGGACGGACTGTCTATTGACTATTGGGATCGACCCCAGCTATACCTATAGGGAAAGTTGACGCGATGGCATCGTTTGTGGCTCGGCCTGGTGCCTGGCCTGCAAGGTCCACCGCGCGCTTACAGCCAAGCGGGTGGGCGGCGCGACGGCCAAGCTCCTGGCGGCGCTACTGATGAGCCAGCGGCTGATGTGCGACGTCGACATGGTCGAGGAGCAGCAGTTGAGGCAGCTCGAGGGCGACGCAGCCGGCCTTCAGACTTGGTGTCTGCCGTCCACCCAGCATACGGACTCGAAGAAGAGAGTGCAGGGTTACTCCGAGCCGGCGGGTGGACTATCGCCTTCACGATGCGTGGCTCGGTTGTGCTGGCCCCAATCTCGTTGGCGGTCGTGCCGCAGCAGTCCATGTATGATGTATCTAGATACAGGAGAACAGGAGGGCGCCTGGGTCTAAATTTAGTGAGGTGTGAAGTGTTTATGTACTGCATCTTTAGTGCACTTTAGCGCGAATTTAGTGCGAATTTAGCGCAAATTTAGCGCGAGTTACTGCGACTTTACATCCAGATTTAGCGAGGTTTAGTGCGTCTTTAGTCCATCCGCGCACTAGGATCCAGCCGCAGCCCCTCGCTGGGCCTCCCTCCCCCTCCCCCCCTGCAGTCCCCTGCCCACTCGCAAAAGTTTCCCGTCCGACCCCCAACCGAACGAAGGTTTTTAATTCAGCTAAATATCAGCCTCCGGTGCTTTCCCGGCTGCTTCTCCGGGCCCGCCGAGCGGCAAAACGTTTGCCGGAAGCGGGGCGTGAACATAACGACTTTACTGCGATGGCAGACACGGCCGGAGCAGACGATGGTGGCGCTGCCGTGGCAGCAGGGAGAGGCGAGGGGCGGCAGGGAGAAGCATCTCCTGTGGTGCATTCTTGGCAGCCAAGGAGCAAAGCACGCGGCCCTGGCTAGCTGTGGTGTGGCCGGGAAGCCGTGCTAAAGATGCGTGCCCGCACTAAAGATGCGGGACCTACACTAAATGTACTGCTGCTGCCCGCACCTAAATGTGGCGCCAAATTGGAGATAAAACACACTAAATATGTGCTAAATAATGTGCTAAATATGTGCTAAATTTGCGCTAATGGCGGACGGATGGCGTCGAGGATGCCGAGTACGACGCCCTCAGCCGCACAGTCTCAGCCTACGTTCCGCGGCTTACCAGCACGATCGCCCTCGTGCAGCCGCGGCATGCGGACTTGCCCTTCCGCCGCTGGCTGCTCACCCCAAGCGGCCCCTCGCGGTGCACGCTGCTGCTCGAGACAGCGCGGCGGCACACCTACGCCCTTGAACTCAGCGCCAGTGGCGTTGCGCTCGTTCCGTCTTCCGAGTGCCCGGCCGAACTCGCCACATTGGCCTCCACGCCGCTGGCGCCAGCGCTGTTGTTCCATCGCTTGCGCGACGCCGGCGTCTGGCTCTGCCCGCACGACGCAGACGCTGAAGCGTTCAGCCATGACCAACGGCCGCGACTTAAAGACCCATCGCTCGAAGCTGAGGTGCACCGCGAAGCCTCGCGGCTCGCGGCTGGCGTCCGCTTCTGCTGGTCTCGTCGCAATCAGTTGCTTGGGGCCGAGCGAGCAATGCTGCGCGTCGCGCCTCCCCACACGCCTGCCGACACCGACCTCGACGAGGGGGACGAAGAAAACGTCATGGAGTCCCCTGCTTGCGCCGACGCTGATCCATGGGCGGCCGATGCGCCGTGGCAGTCTCTGCTTCACTCTCGAATCGGCCCAACAGGAGGGGCGATTGACCGTTACGTCGCTCTGGTCGACCCGTCCGAGAGCGAGACCGATGCGGGCACCCGCCTGCTGGACGGTACGACGGCGCATTCGACGCCAGCACTCTGCCTCGCGGCCGACCCCGCCGGCCAATACGCCTCGGCGCTGGAGCAGAGTGCATCCTCAGCGCACCTACTCAGGGATCACGTGCGACAGGTGCGCCACTTCGCGTTCGCTCCCCTCGACCCTATCCTTTTGAGACCCCTCCGACCCGCTCTGGTCCGCAGGTGCTCGACGTCTTGAGACTGTGGTCGTTCACGCAGTCGGTATGATCGGGGCGTCGATGCCCCTTCGCTCGAGTCCAGAAGCGCTCTCGTAGCCGTGTACACTCACACGGCCCTCGCTCGCTCGCTCTCCGCTGGGCTTGGGCCACGCGCCCCGTGGGTGGCGCCTCTACCAGCTACCACGTGCTCTCCCATATGAGATATGTGGAGAGTAGCAGGTCGGATTGATTGACCTACAGCCTACGTACAGAGGTCGGAAACTGGTCAACTGACCCCATGCCGCATGCGGACCTCCAGGTCGGCGGTGCTAGTGTAGGTTCTGATCTCTGACTCTGTCAAATAAATCCCCGACCTGCTTTGGGACCTTACTGCCCTGCTCGACCTCTCCGCTACGCGCTAGACCCCACGGGGCGCCCACCACCTAGCCCACCACTCGTTTAATTTTACGCTGAACACATTTCCACAACATCAAAAAATATGTGTGTGTGGCGGGCGTAAACCTGTCTCACGGCTCCAGAGAAGTGCCTACGACCGCCTTTGTGCTGCTGTCGCTCCCGCCAACGCCGCGAAAAAGGCCGTGGCGCCTATCGCGCCGCTCGCCGGGCGGACAATTGAGCCGGCCAGCTCGGCGTCCATGACGCCGGCAGAAGGCAGCAGCGCGAGCGTGAAAAGCGCGAGCGCGGCAAAGGCGAGTGGCGTCGACGCTCTGCCGACGGCCGAAGTGGCGCTCGCGACGGCCTCTATCTCCTGCGGACTCGAGATTGCGAGGCGCTCTGGATCGCACGCAAGTACGCCGGGATTCTTCGTGATGACATTGAGCGCTCGCTGCTTGCCCAGCATCCCTCGCAACAGCGCGTTGTTGCTGGTGATGGTGGACGGAGAGACAACCCATGGCGTAACAATACCCTTGTTGGCGGTCAGCGCAGTCAGAGCTGCCTCGTCGGACGGATAGCACCCGCGCAGTGCTCGCCAGAGCGGCACCACTCCAGGATCCTCCGCGACCTTCGATGGCAGCACTTCGGAGACCGCATCGGGCAGGCTCGCAGCCATAGTGATCGACGCTGCCGGAGAGCGGACCGGATACGCAGCAGCGAGCAGCGTTGGGAGCACCATCTCTGTCGAACAGTCTGTCTGCTATTGCCGCAGCCACTTCACAGCTGCTCCTGTGGGGAGAGACCCAGGGAGGAGCAGCTGAGCGTCGAACTGAGCGTGAACGCTCAGAGACTATGGAGAGTTCACGTCATGACGGTTAGCCGCTGTCATGACGGTTAGCCGCTGTCATGACAGCTGCCAGCTGTCATACAGCAAACGACAGCGACAGTGACACCTACCTGTCACCAGCTGTCACCAGCTGTCACCAGCTGTCACCAGCTGTCACCAGCTGTCGTTGCTGCTGTCGTTGCTGCTGTCGTTGCTGCTGTCGTAACCATCCCCGACGGTCCAACTGTCACTGCTGCTGTAATTGCGCAGCTGTCATTCCTGCTGTCATTGCTGCTGTCATCGCTGTCGTTGCTGCTGCTGTGCTGTCATTGCTGCTGTCATTGCTGCTGTCATTGCTGCTGTCATTGCTGCTGTCATTGCTGCTGTCATGAGCACCACCGCAGGACAGTGTGTGGTGCCACTAGCGAGAGAGACAGGACACTCAAGATATAGATGCATGCGCGCGAGACCGCTCACTCGCACGCCCGACGCCACATGAGAAACCCTCTCAACAGTAGCCACGCACGGTCAGCAGCAGCGGGCGTGAGTCGGAGAATCTGCAAAACCCTTGCCCTCCTTCCTCCAGCATGTGCCGTGATGGGCTCCAGCGCTGGTTCATCTGCCGCTCAAAAATCTCACGCGAGCGAACGGTGTCAATCCTCAGCCGCGAGGATTGGGACCTTGAAATCCACGATCACAAGCAAACGCGCAGAGCATTGAGCAACACACCTCGGGTTGAACCTCTCAAGGTGCATGCTGTCACCGGCAGTCTGCATGTGGATCGTAGACGATGACTATGGCTGGAATAAGCTCAAGTTCGTCACGAGAAGAGCTCCAATGCCAGCCAGCTGGCTACGAAGTCTCGCTCGCAATCATCGACCTGCCGCCGCGGCTGCTCGCAACAGTAAAGCGTGTGAGGAATGCGGTCGCCGCCAGCGCCGCAGCTGCGCTGCCAACGCGATTGAAACCAGCAATCATCTGGGTCAACGTGGTGCGCGACACGGACCCGTGGGCGTAGTTCACTCGTCACCTCTCCCGCGAGCTCCCTTCTCTTTCTTTCGGGTATGGAGTCCGTGAGTGCGGGTAGCGTGCAGGCAATCACGGGCGCTATTTTGTCGTACTCCTCTTCGGCGAGCGCCCCAAATCTAGACCCTTTCGCCTTTAAGGAGGCTGCCCTCGCTCGTCTCAGGAATGTGGCGGTGTCTTTTGAGTCCGGCGCCTCCCGTTGAACTCTTGCTGTCGCCCTCGCTGTGTGTTTATCGAGCTTCCGCATGAAGTGACGCGCCTCTTCCTTATTTCCAGCGCAGCTGCCGCTCAGTATGTGCGCCAACGACGCCTGTGGTGGCTCACTGTCTTCTTGTTTCCAGTCGTCCCAGTCACAAACAAAAGCAGCAGTGAAACCCAGCTCTACTTTCTTAAAATACCCATGCCCGTAAGAGCCACATACACATACACTGAGAGGCCCCTAAGGGCCCTAGCACAACGCCGTCTCCCTTTTCTCAGTAAGCTAAAAGTACGACAGAGGAAAATCTCTTTCCTGAAAAACGCATGCCGCCCGCTGTTGGCGACAATACCTGCACAACGGCGCTCGCCCTCGCGGGCATGTCTCCATGAGAATCTCGCATGCCGTCGTTACACAGAAATGCTCTGACAGCTGACGCGATCCGACCTCTATCTCAGGGCATCTGATCCATCGCCGCTCATCACCGACACGCAAGAAGTGCCTTCTTACGGAGGCCGCTTGGTTGGCTCTGACCTCATGGCCTGCAGTCTTCACAGAAAGGCAACCTGCCATTGCTGATAGTTTGAGGTGAGCAATGGCATGCACATGCGCGCGTGTGGGCTGGAGGAAGGCACGGCGCGCGTGGCTGGCGTTCACTGTGCGAGTCAAAGCGCACCGGCCACGGTGGCCATTGCCGAGCCACAAGTGGCGTTGATCAGGAACTCTCATGTAGAGAGCTCTGCTCTGCTACAAGAAAGCAGGCTCACCCTACACAGAGAAATTCTGTGGCAGAGGAGCAGGAGTTTTGCAAAATGTGTGAGACGTACAAACGCTGCTGTGCAACAGGCGTTGAGAGCTACATCCACGCGCACCGGTGTCTTATTTTAGTCCATGGGGTGTACTGCACAGATGGGTGGGTGGGCGGTTGGGCCCGTTCACGAGGGCTATGGCTGCCTCACGGCTGTGCCTGTGGCGCTGCCTCGCTGTCGCTGTCGCTGTCGCTGTCGCTGTCGCTGTCGCTGTCGCTGTCGCTGTCACTCGCGGGGCCCCGCGCTGACATTGTCACCGCCTGTCGTTGGCATTCACTGGCTTCACTGTCACTGTCACTATGGCTGTCACTGTTCCTGGTGCCTTTCACTCCTCCTTGGCAGCTGGCTGTCACCAGCTGTCACCAGCTGTCACCAGCTGTCACCAGCTGTCACCAGCTGTCGTTGCTGCCGTCGTTGCTGCTGTCGTTTCGCAGCCGCTGTCATGACATATTGACCACGTCATGACGGTTAACAGCCGTTTTAACCGTCATGACGTGAACTCTCCATAGTCTCTCAACAGCAAGCAGTGACGACCGAAGCGCCGGCCGAGGTACAAAGAAATACGTGGCGGAGCGGAGTGCGCAGGCGCACAGCGCACGCTCTCACATGACAAGCGCGAGCTGTGGTGAAAAAAGAAAAACTCGCGCAGGAAGGACCGCAAGCGGCCAGGCGTGGAGCGGAGAAACTGAGCCCCACTCGGGCGACCCCGGCTACCATGCGCATCGCGTTGGTGGGCTGCGGCCATGGCGAGCTCGACTCGATCTACGCATCCGTGGCGCAGATCGAGGCGGTCCACCAGACCACCGTCGACCTCCTCCTCATTTGCGGCGACTTCCAGGTGCTGCGATGGCCTCGCACTCCCATCGCGGCCGCCGTCGCCGCCTGCGCCTGTGCCGCGACGACGCCTGCACGTGTGCGCCGCTTCGATGCCTCACCCGCGCCACGCAGGCCGTCCGCAACCAGTCCGACCTGGCGACGATGGCATGCCCCGCAAAGTACCGCTCGATGCAGGACTTTCACCGGTACTACTCTGGCGAGAAGCGTGCGCCCGTCCTCACGATCTTCATCGGCGGCAACCACGAGGCGTCCTCCCACCTCTGGGAGCTCTACTACGGCGGCTGGGTCGCGCCCAACATCTACTTCCTCGGGTACGCGGGCGTGGTGTCGGTGGGAGGCGTCCGCATCGGAGGGCTGAGCGGCATCTACAACGGGCGCCACTACCACACCGGCCACTGCGAGGCGCCTCCCTACTCCGACTCGGACATGCGGTCCGCGTACCACGTCAGAGAGATCGAGGCGCCGCACACCACCACCTCGCACACCACTCTCCCGCCACCGGCCCCCAACCCCACGCCTCTCCCGCACGCCCTCCCCTCCCACCGCCGCCCCTCCCCTCCGCACTCCCACCCCCGCCCGCCCAAAGGTGCTCCGGCTGCTCCAGCTCCGCCAGCCGATGGACGTCTTCCTCTCGCACGACTGGCCCGCCCACATCGCCACGATGGGCGACACAAACGCGCTGCTCCGCAAAAAGTCCTTTCTGCGCGACGAGGTGAGGGACGGCTCCCTCGGCTCTCCCGCCGGCGAGCAGCCCCTAGAGCGCCCAAGGCGGTCGTGCCGGGGCCTCCCTCCCAAGCTGCTCGGACCCTTCCTGCAGGCGAGCAGCTGCTCAAGCACCTCAAGCCCGACTACTGGTTCGCGGCGCACCTGCACGTCAAGTTCGCGGCGGTGGTGCAGCACGCCGCCGGAGCGAGCGCCACTCGCT